CTCACCATTAAAAAGGCCACTTTTCCAGCTACAAGAATCAAATATTCTAGATGATTTTGAACTCTGTTTAAAAAAATAAAAAATACTCAAACAAAGCAAAATACCAAGAGAGCAAAGTAATAAGATAACGAATAGTAGTTCATTTTCAAAGTAAATATTCTTTATGTGGTTGCATCCATTTTTGAGTTTTAATTATAGAATGGGCAAAAATTTCATCAGACTATGGTAGGTGATAATACTGTTAGTCCACATCTCTGTTTTAAAGATCACAGTGTCCATCATATTGATCAAGTTGTCATTTATTGCTACATCTTTCTTTAGACCTGATGTTTTGAGGGTTATATTTTATCCATAAGTGCTACTTTAATACTAGTAGGTTTTTAAAAAATTGCATTGGAATTTTAAATCTCTTACCCCCTCCAGATTTTATTAACTTAAGAAATTTCATTTGCACTTTTTCAAGGCTAGAAATCAAGTTTCATTACTCCTATTGTCTTTTCTTACATTTTCCTTGTTTTAAACAAAGGAATTAGATATATGTTGGGATTCTTTAACAGGTTTATCATGCTGAGGAACTTCCCCCCATTGCTGATTGTTTTGATTTGCAACTTTCAATAACATCGTTTATTTTTATTTATTGATATGATGCATATTTCAGTTCTTTCCACCTTACCTATGAAAAATACATTATGGTAAGTTGTTTAATCAGAAATGAGACCAAAACTAAATTTCTAGAAGTTTTCTACATCTGTAGGGTTTTTGTTGTTGTTGTTAATTTTCAACATATTTTATTTAAAACTTCTTATAATGTCTTCATTTATGCTTCTGAAGCAAACTTGGTAAAGTAGGATATATTTTCTAGAAAATTAATTTCATTTGGGTGTAGATGAAATATATAATTCAGAGTAATTTTTAACAGCACTTCTTGACATTTTCTGCTCAGAGTGTTCTGTTCCTAGAGTTCCTCTCACATATGCTGGTTTGCACTTTACAGCCTGCAGCTATTTTAGTCTCTTTTCTCAATAAAGCATCCCATCCTGTGCTCTTGAATCTATGAAGGAAACATTTTCAGGCAATGCTCAGAAAATGGGAATCTGTTGTTTGATATTGGCAAAGCAACCCTTGCATCTTGAAGAAACAACGAGAAGTATTACTCCTATGTCTTGTATTGTGTATCCAATTAAGAATGGTCATCTTGCTTCAAACATAGGTGCAGCCTGAGTCTCAAGCAATTTACAATTTGTAACAGTTATTTACATAGGATTAAGGAACCATGGTGATGCCATGATTAAAATGCAGTATTGCAGGATACTTCTGCCTACTGCCAGCAGTTCAATCTTGACTGGCTCAAAGTTGACTCAGCCTTCCATCCTTCCAAGGTTGGTAAAATGAGGACCCAGATTGTTGGGGGTGATATGCTGACTATGTAAATTGCTTAGAAAGGGCACTATGAAGCAGTATATAAGTCTAAGTGCTATTGCTATTGTTATTGCTATTTTTCTATAACATTATAGCTTTTCTTAATTTTAATGGAAGCACTATAAATGATAACATCATAATAGCTGCAAAAAAATCACACATTTGTATAAAATACTATGTTAGGAAAGTAAATAATGGGAAATTTTTGAATCAGTGATTAAGGATACATTGTTCCAGTCACAAAATATGGGGTGTGGAGCTTGGCAGCCAAATTAAATATAAATAGTCCTTGACTTATGACCACAATTGAGTCCAAGATTTCTGTTTCTAAGCAAGGTAATTGAGTTTTGCCCCATTTTACAACTTCTCTTGATTACAGTTGTTAAATAATCTCTACAGTTACTAAGTGAATGGTTTCCCTGTTGACTTTGCTTGTCAGAAGATCGCAAAAGGTGATCACATGATCCGGGGACATTGCAACCTTCATAAATACATGCCAGTTGCCAAGTGTCCTAATTTTGAAGAAATAACCACAGGAATGCTGCAACAGTTGTTAATGTGAAAAACAGTCATTTTTTTCAGTGCCATTGTAACTTCAAACAGCCATTAAACAAATGACTGTAAGCTGAGGATTACCTGTATCAGTAAATTCATTCAATAACTATTGGAATTGTTTTCAAAAAATCTGTTTTATATAAAATACTAAGTTTAGGAAAGTAAATAATGAGAATTTTTTGAATTGGTGATTACATTGTTCCAGTCACAAAACTTGGGGGGCGGGGGGGTCTTAGCAGCCAAACTAAGTGCTTGTAATTTAATCAATAACTACTGGAAACATTAATGAAAACTTTTGCTGATTAGACATTCATATTTCTTCAAAATCCACACAGGTTTACATCTATTGAGCTTCGATGTTCAAGCTATCAGACAAGCATGACTGCCCACAGTTCAGGATTTACAGAGGTCTGAATCCAGTCCACAAAGTAGACCAAATAATCTGCTTACTGGACAAATGCATATGGGTTCCATATATTTAACAGGGCAAAATTAATTCACAAACAACAAAGGGGGTATCTTCAATTATCCAATAAAATAACTTGTAAAGCATACAAAACTGAACTCAGATATTGTTGTATCCTTACAATCTATTGTTTCACTTTCACACAAATTTACAGTAGAACCTAGCTGAAAAATGCCAATGTGCAACATACAAACCATAACTTCGGTGTGAAGCAAAATATTCCTGCAATTCACCTTTCCTGGAAATTGAAAATAGAAAGAAGTGTGTCAGTGTTCCAAGTAATGCACCCATAGAAAACAAAACTCTGAGGCAGGCAGGTTCCTCAAAGAACAGTTTATTGGATACTTCATATTGGCACTCTGGAGTTTCCAGCAGCTTTCACCTAATTAAAAGTAAAGGTTTTCCCCTTCCCACCAAGTCATTGGTCACACTGTCCAATCCAGGTGCTGGCTGGTTGCTGAATTACTTGCTCCTCCTCTGGCTAGCCATCTGTGAGAATGTCCTTGATTCCCACAGGAAAACTTTATTGATTTTGCTACAAAACCCCATTTAACTATTTCCCCCCCTCCCACCGTTGTGTGGCAACCCTTGAAACCTCCAAGATGGCTTCTGCCAAGTTCACTTCAGGGTTAACAATGTGTGTGTGTGTCTGTGTGATTTGGTCTATAAAAAAATCCTAACATAATTATGGTGATAACCATGGAGACATGATTGTTGATTTAAAGTATAGCTATTTGAAACAGTAATAAAAACTATAGAGAGAAAAATTAGAATTACTTTTATTTAAATCTAGATTGCTTCCATAGTGAATTATAAAAAAAGTAAATCCACTGTAAATTCATGGCTAATCCAACATAAAAAAAGAACATCAGCTCAGTATAATTTGCTTTGTCTTTATTAACCAATATCTTTAAATGGAATGATCTTACAATTGAAAGTTCAATAATTATGACTAATAATTACTATTAATCATTTAAATACCTCTGTACAACTATGTAACATTTATTTAATCAAAATCCTATAGGATAATTATTTTATATGCTTACAATGTCACTCACCGAAATTTGCTACATAAAAACAAATCTAGATGCATAATATTAAATTTGTAAATTGAAATGTCTAAAAAGCTAAAGAAAATTATAGTAGTTATTGACATTAGTTATATGACATGATGATTCATATGATACTGACATAATATCTAGTTCATTAGCAGCCAGAATATTCATTTACTACTAGAGGAATATCACACTTCTACCAATATTTTATGAAATCTAGGACATTCTAGTCATACTTAATAGAAACCTAAAAATAAGTATAACACAGTATAAAGATTAAAATACCAATAAATTATAAGCAATGTTTTCCTATTATCTGACTGAACTTAAATGAATGTACAATATAGAATTTAAGAAAGCTTAGGTCCATATTCTATAGCATTCCTTTAACTGTTGAAAGAGATACAGAAGGGAATTCTCTTCATGTGTATGTGTGTGTGCATGCGTGTATGTGTATTTATTGGCTTTTCTCTTAAAATTAAAATGATTTCAACAGATTGTTTTGATAAGAAAAATGTTCAGAGAAGGAAAATGCAATCTTTTGGGAAAGGTTAACACAAGTGAAGGTCTTCACTTGATTGGTTTATCCAATCATAGAAATAAGACTCTCCAAACAGTATGATTTTTTTACTGTAGGAATTTCTGGGAAGAGTTCTTCTTTGGGCAACAAGTGGCCATATAAAGTGAAAATATCAGAATTTGTAAAATGTACACATTTAAAGATTCCCAGGTTAGGAAAACTATACAGGTAGTCCTCATATAGTGAGTATCTCATTTACCAACCATTCACAGTTGGAAAAATGCTTAAAAATAACTTTTATGACCAATCCTCATATTTACAACCTTTGCAGGTCTGTAAAACAAAGAAAAGCTGAAGCAAAATCATAGGAGCAGTTTTGGTTTCCCTTAATTACAGTTTTGAATAATGATTGAGTTGCCAGTTCCAGTTGTTATCACTAAAGGAGAAATACTGGCAATATAGCATGGCAATAAAATGCTACCACAGTTCCTCACATAAGAATGGAATGATGACCTACATCAGTCAGTCTCATTTTTGTTCCTCTATTTTTGAGAAATGGTAACATAATGGGGAATTTTTGTTCCTCTATTTTTGAGAAATGGTAACATAATGCACACTAAAGTTCTGAAGAACATATGTTGTCTAATGTCTACCAGAACCTACAAAAACATTGCAGTCATCTTTGGTTAACTTGCAATAAATCTATATTTCTTTTTGTAGAAGCCATTTTTTATGTGCACTGAAACTTATGGCTTCCCTTTTACTGAGGTGTAAGATCCTGGATTAAAAAATGTAATACAGATTCCAATTTATTCCATCTTGATTTATTTTATTAATATAAAGAATTCTGTTAACTTCCTGAAGCTGCAGAAATTATAAGTCACAGGAGGTATTGGATAAGGTGTATAATTTTAATAGACACTGAACTCATAGTCAGTGAATGTATTTGTTGAATTAATTATATTGTTATATCTTCTTTAAAAAACCTGTTTCTTCCCAGATGACTCTGAAGTTTAAACACATTTATTCATGCACTCCAGCAGCTCCATCCTGATAGCAATGCGCACATGCCAGCCAAGGGGTATCAACCTTATGTAACGAGAAACAATGGGTGGACGCAAAAGGTTCTGCACAGATGATGATCTGTCTGAATTTCCATAGAAAATCTAGAGAAAATGAAGTAGGAGAGCAAGGGGAAAAAGAGAGCTTAAGACTTGACATTCTTCTAATTTTGCACCCAACAATTTGGAAACAATTGTACTGTCTTAAATGACTGAGAAAAACCTAACTCTCTACGACTAAAATATGGTTATATACTGTATTAGTACTGTACTCAACATCTCCCCTCATCCCTTGTATAGCTTGTTAATTTTTTTAAAAAAATCCTCATATAAAGGTCATAAGTGACTGACATTGTGCTTGGGTTAAAATATTTCACGAATGAAGGCAAATATACATGTCCCAGGATAATGTTGCAGGATCCAATCTGGGTTGGTCACCAGAACCAGAGGTTTTGTCTTCAGAGTTTTTGGACTAATGCTGAAGCCCATCCTCAGGGAACTTCTCTCTAGCGGAGTATGCTCTTTGGGCTATTCTGTGTGTGTCATTTATATGGTGTATGTGGCTTTTTAGATGTTGATTGGGGTGCTGATGACTGGCTATTAAGTCATTGGTTGTTATTTGCCTGTGCTGCCAAGCCCTCGCCTCCTAAGTACTTGATCAGCTGGTGATAAATCAGCACTCCTGTTGATTGACAGGGGGCCTGTTTCTCAGGCTTCAATCACTTTCCCGCTTGTTTTTGTATCGACTCATCCAACAGTAACTGCAAAATTGAATGTATGTCCTTATTCATTGCAATGTGAGACTACCAATGAGTTCAGGTCTCCTTGTCTGACCCCTCAGTTGTGTTCTTGTGTTCTGGTGATTATCTCCCACTCACCCCCATGTCTTTATAAACCACACACAGAACAGCCCAAAGCACACACTCTGCTAGAGAGAAATTCCCTGAAGAGTCCAAAAGCTAGGAAGACAAAATCTCTGGTTCTGGTGAATGACCCAGATTGGATTCTAAAATATCTCACTTAACTCCATATTATTACATGACCTCACCCCTAGCACCTGTCAAGTTTTTAAAGCTACTTTTCTAATACAGGTTAAGTGCTCTTCTAGAAGTACACTAAACCTGTCTTCAAGCTCCTTTTGAATACCTGCCAGCTGTTGCTAGATTATTTTAAATACAATTTAGCAATCTTCTGAAAGAGTACTAAACTTGTATTCAAAAGGAGCCCACATTGCATACTATGGGGGAATTTCCTCATTCTCCAATATGCAGCTAGTACTCACCCATCCTACTCTGCGCCTGCCACTTTTTAGTCAAACTGGTTCCTCTTTCCAAACCAGTTGTCAATAGATACAAGATGGGCATTTTCTTGGAGGCCTGGCAAATGTGGGGCAGGAGGAAGTAAAATTTGAATCGCCTGGAAGGGCAATGACCAGAGATTGGATAGGAGAATGCATATCTGCATCAGCTTTTGGAGGCCAACAGTTGTTGGTTGAATATTGACTAAATGGTTGATGAAGATTGCACTCATAATAAAACTTCCATATCTTTAAATACTTAACTACTTTAAGGCTGATTTAAGGCTGATTCAAGTATTGGTTGAGAGTGAGATGAAGACAACAACATGAAGACACAGCAGGAAAAAGACCATGCTCTTACCATAGTTAAGTATACGCTGGGAAAACCCCTAAGTGATTTGAGTTAATGGCAACACATGAGATAACATTGATAAAATTAAGAGATAGAAAGGAGCGAATATGGGCATACAGCTGATAATCTAGGGTGTTCAGAAGAGGTCTGTTTTTATACATGTATATCCCTGATTTGGTCAGTTGTCCAAAATGGTATAGTAATTGTAGTCTCAAATTTAAGTCAATGGAATGGATTTAATGGCATTCTCGATACACCTTGAAGCTAAAATATATCCTATTGGAATAGATACAAATACTGGGACTTCGTCAGAAAAGGGGAAGGGATCTTATACTGACCCGATTGTTTCCTGTTTGGTCCTTGTAATAAATCCAGTTCAGATTCTCATCAGTCCTGTACTGTACACTATATTTTGTCATCCATTCATCTGCATCACATCTTCCCTGTGTAATTATTCCTGAAATAACTTTAATTTCCTTCAAGTCAATCTGCAGCCACTGGTTTGTATCTTGGTATTTGGAGAGCCAGGCACACCTAGAAGAGTTATGGAAGGAAGGCACTGATGGTCAAGTACATATCTTTATAAGGCATACATTTTGACTCAGCATCCATAAATAACTCATCTTTAGAGGATAAGTCAAGAGATGAATCTGAAGCCAGCAAATGGCTAGAACCTGGATCAAAATAGGCAGAAAAAAATGAGGTCCAATGATCCAGATAATGATCCTGATAAAGACACCTCCAAACCACTCACTACAGGGTGGAGCTCTTGGAGTCAGCCATTGCATTTGATCACTGAATGTTTGGAAGCCTCATGCTAGCTCTCCTGAATCCTGGAAAAAAATATTTTATGTAAATAATTACTTTCCTTCATCCTCTGACCATTTGTTGTCCCATTTACAAGTTTCAACTGCCTTGCATACTCAGATGCTTTTTTGTGAATAGGATATATTTAACAGTAAATGAGAAAATTCATCACATGATGCTATGAAAACTGAGGTACTTCTGAAACACATCCTTTGAGGGCAGTTTTGAGAGAGCTATATGATGGATTTTGCTCCCTATTTCTGGGTTGTGTTGTTATTTGAATGATAAATTTATTTCTAGCAAACTTTGGGAATATCCCTGCCCTCAATGTCTGATTAGAATCAGTTTCCTGTTCTGTAAACTACATAACTTGATCATGATTTTCAAAACTAACTTACTTGGTAGGTTCACAAATCAGCAAGCTTATGACTTATAAATCTCGGTGACTAAGTTCAAATAAAATGCCATATAAGAAAATCACATTAACCTTGATCACATTTTATGAAATAGTCTCAAATTTAAGAGTACTGTATTTATCAGGTGCAAATGTCACTGGCCCAGTTAAACTCTTCTTGAGAACTCTTGCACGCTGTTTCATAAACCTTCATATGGCCTAACAAAGTTACCATTTCAATATAGATTTTGATTTTAGTTCCCCCTGTTCCTGCTTCATAAGCAGCCAAGCTGCTATGATTATTTTTTCATTATTCATATAATGGAATAAAGAAAAAAATGTCAGGAAAAGGAGGAATATCTCAAGGATAAAGAAAAAGCTTGAAAAACAGTTATCACAACATGATTCAGCACAACACAAAATCTTATTTAATGCAACATTTTGTTCTGACAGTAGCTATCTAAATACCTCTCAGAAGCTCACAATGACAAAAACAGTAACCTCCACACATTTTTCCCAGAAAATGGAAGTAAATATTTATTGTTCTGGGATCATAAATATACATTTTAAAAGTCATTGTTAGCCTCAATATATTATGTAACAAAGGTTTAGAGGTTAAAATGTATTTTGTATAGTTTATTGGTAGAAAACATGTCTTGTAATGCAGTTTACCCAAATCCTTGTCCGTTAAGTCGGGCCTTGTTTGCAGTCCATGAAGCATACCACCCAGTGTACTGCTCTGGATTAGAACAGCTTATCTGATCTGGAGTGACAGCTGCTGATTCAAAACCAAGAGGCTTATGATAGGGGCACTCTGTAAAAGAAGACATGGAGAGGAATCAGTGCAGTTTGGAGTCTTGGAGTCAAAAAGTTTAATTTCTGCTGCATCCATCTCCAGAAAGTGCTACACTTAGTTTTATTAATAGGATGAGACATTGAAAAATGATTGTTTTATTTCTTATTTTCTTTTGGATTTGGGGAAGTTTGGGGATTTAATTTTGCACACTTTCAATCAAGGAAGTAGGAGTTGTATCATTAAAAAATCACCCATAGTACTATAAACTAGTATTTTCAAGTAGGACACTTACAGCTGCACATGAGTACAATTTGCTATTTTGTCTTGAAAGGATATAGAGTGGCAAAGTCTATAAAATCTAGAATTTTATATAAGGTGGTATTTTAGTTCAATCCAGAGGTGGTATTCAGCAGGTTCTGTTCAGTTCTGGAGAACCGGTAGCAGAAATTTCGAGTAGTTCGGAGAACCGGCAAATAGCACCTCTGACTGGAGATTTTATCCTTCCCCTGCCACGCCCACCAAGCCACACCCACAGAACTGGTAGTAAAAAAAATTGAATCCCACCACTGGTTCAATCATTTGACAACTGGGAAGAACATCCAGGAATTGTACATTCTAAATCCAAAGTCTTTACAAATGAACCACTATCAACTTACACTTCTTGTTTAATTTACAGAATTAATATTAATAGAATTTAAATGTATATTCCCTCTCATTTCACAAGAGCTCCTGTACTGGATGTAACATTCTAGTTTTCTGTTTTTTCTTTTTTTTTCTTTTTACTGCATCCCCTGTTTGAATATTGTACCTACAATTGTGGTGGTTTCTTAGTGGAGGCATTATCTGAAGCCATCTGGATGATAGATTGCACAGAATTTGCAACAATCATATGTATAGAAGTATTAAAACAAGACAGACTAAAATGAGTTAAAACACCTCCAATGTGGCAGGCTACAGTGTTTGCAAGCAAAGCAAATTTAATTTTAGTAACACTAATCTTTAGATAACTCAGCTATAATATACTTAACAGGTAGCCTTCCATTGTAGAAAATTGCAGTAGACTAAAAGAATTATCGAACAGATGTCTGGGGACTTTCGAATCAAGTACTTTTATTATTTAATGCTGCTACTATTTACTTTAAAAGTCATTTAAGTGTGAGAAGGATTTTCTCCTCTTATTAAGCTTTTTTCCCTATACTACAGCTTCTTTTTGTTTTGAGTTATTCTTATATATAACTGACACTTTAAGAATCCCCACTGCATTTAATGGAGGAAATACTTTGCAAATAGTGAAGTTAAAGAAGTATAATTAGTTTAAGGTTATATTTGCATTTGCTATGGGTCTTTGGGAATGTGCAGCTTGACCCAATCTAACCAATAATATAAGTCACATAAATTTTTCAAGAAGATCCTGATTGAAAATTATGGGTACTGTATCCCAATATGAACAATATTAAACGAAATAGGCTGATTTTGAGTTGTAATAATAAACAGATGATACTTACCTGGCATGCAGTCTAGATTGTCTGTTTCAGTGGACCACACTGAGTTTGGATTTCTTTGACAATCACATTTACAGGCTTTGCTATGCCAGTGCTCTAGATTGTCATCCTAAGATAGTGCAGAATAATGTATCAACTTTGCATATAAGAGAATAAGCAAATTCTTTCTTACTTCCTAAATTCCCATTGGACTATATCAACTCTGCTCAAATAACAACTTTCAGTTGTATAATCAAAAACATTTGGGGAGTACAAGTTTGCATAGGGTAGCATTGCACTCTTCATATTGATCAATGCCTTTTATTGCTATTGCACACAGAGAGAATCATACTTGAGTACAACAAAGAGAATATGGGGCATTCTAAGTCCTGGTCAAGCCAAAAGGATGATCAATTGAACTTAGAGTATATTTTATTCTTGTTTCACATCTCAGTTGAGCCAAGAACTCATTAAACTGCTTTAGTTGAGCATTGTATACTATACCTTAGTATAATAAAAAGGAAAAGATGGCTGTAAAAATAGCTGAAATCACAAATATATACACTTGAGAGAAAGAGAGACAGCTAAACAGACAGACAATGGTAGGTGTACATGATCTTGGGAGACAGGGTGAAGAGACACAGCAAAGAAATGGAAGGGGAGAATTTGCTGCAGCCAACTCACCACCACGGTCAACTTGCCACTGTCAATTCACCACAGCCAACTCATCACAGCCAACTTTCCAAGGGACAACTCACCATGGCCAAGTTACCACAGGACAACTTGCTGTGGGACAATTCAACAATTCAATTTAATTTTTTAAAATAATTAAAACATTATTTTAATTTTTGCCATTCAGGTTTCATTTTGTCCCTCCTTTAGCATTCTTTCTTTAATGATTCTATTCCATTATTTCTTTGATATTAGTGTAACTCTTGTTCCATGGCAAGTTGGTTGTGGCAATTTGGCTATAGTGAGTTGTCATAGGCCCACCAAGAAAATGGTCAGATAGGAACAGTAATAGCACTTAGATTTATATACTGCTTCATAGTGAACTACAGCCCTCTCTAAGCAGTTTTACAGAATCAGCCTATTGCCCCCAACAATCTGGGTCTTCATTTTACTGACCTTGGAAGGATGGAAGGTTGAGTCAACCTTCAGATAAAACAAATGGTACATTATTTGCCAAGAATTTAGTGAACTCTATATCTAATTATGTATTATATTATTTATGTGTTTGTATCTCTGTCAGTGTATGTGTTCAAGTGTTAAATTTTATATTAAATAATTTAGATTATTAGGATGAGGAATATTCAGATATAATAGAAGAAAGGTAATATAGTATTGCTAGTTTTGTCCTTCTGGAGAATTTAGATTCAGTCCTTATGCTTAATACCTACCTTCTTTGGTTAACTTTGCATCTATTTTAGTGTTCTGTTTTGTTTTGAAATGTAGATATGCTATGAAGTGCAAATAGTGGAAAGAATGAGAGCCTGTGTCAGCCGTCCCACTAGGTTAGACAGCCAAAAGGAAGTCCTGGGACATTTTTTTACCAAGTGTATAACTTTACTACTGTGTTTACTACCTAGTCTTATTTTCTTTTGGGTGCCAAAATAAGCACTAGGCCTTTTGGGGGGGGGGGAAACACGATTTCAGGTAATCAGCCTAGCTGGGCGCACCTCCCCCAGTGCAAACACAAGAGACGGCAAGCACTCAGGGACTGACAGTATCTGGCAGCAGCTGCAGCCAGCTGGTCCCTTAGTCAGTGCACTCTGGGGCTACGCAGAGCAGAAGGCATGGAGCAGAAGGCAGGTGATCCTGATGCACCGCACAGGCTGCAGGCAAGCCGAGAGGTGCGAAGATGAGCCTCCCATGGACGGCCACCGCTGCCAGTTGGCTTTTCTATGGCCCATGTGACGCATCCGGAATACCTCCTCCGCCCCCTCCCCATGCCTCTGTCTCTGTCTGCTGATGGTGTTGCTGTGAGAAGATGAGCCTCCTGAGACCAGTCACCATTTTGGCCCACCACCACTTGGCTTTCCCATGGCCTGATGTAGCATGTCCATATCACCTGCCTCCCCCCCACACACACCTGTGCCTCAGTCTGCTGCTGGTGTTACCACACAAAAATAATCCTCCCGTGGCCGGCCACTACTCCAACCCACCGATGCTCAGCTTTCTCAAGGGGCGCATCTGGATTGCCTGCCTCTCCTCCACCTCTGCTTCTATCTGCTGCTTGCACAAGTATTCAACTCACCTGTGCTGCACGGGCTGTGGCTGCTGGCAGACACCATCAGCCTGTGCATGCTCGCCACCTCCTATGCTAGCCACTCCACCCCTCTCCAGTAGTGCTTATTTGGGGGGTAGAGCTTACATTAGGCACATGTGTAAAAAACAGGCTGGTGCTTATTTGGGGGGTAGGTCGTATTTTCAGAGAAACATAGTTAAAAATTCCAAGTGGTTATAGAAGTAGAAAAGCCAGTTCTAATGATTTTGCACAAAAACAGGATAGGAAAACTTTCCTGTTTCCCCATGGACCTTCCATTGTCCATTGTCCACCCAATCATTTGCACTCTCTTTGTTTTGGGAACAATCTGGCTGCCTCTGACTTCTCCAGCTGGTGACCTTGAGGTGTTGGGTCTGTCTCAGGCTTCCAGTCAGGACACTTGCATTCCAAATTTTCCTCCCAAACCTCCTTTACATCCCAATGCCTTCCCTCCCAGCTCCCATTACAGTTGCTTGGTTGCTAGTGGAGCTGCGTAGTGAGTCAACCATGACATAACAACCCTCCAGAAAGAAGATTAATCCTACAGAAAACATACACGCACATATTACACCATGACCCTCTGTACAGGTTTTCCTACTGGGTTCAGTATGGATACCTAGCAAAGAACCTGTAAATGAGTCTAAATGCATGGACATTTGTTGCTGTCACCCATTCTGCCTCTGCCAAAGGAAATCTCTTCCATAAGATTAGGTACTGCAACTTCTTATTGTTGCACTAAACCTCAAAATCTTTTTCTCCATTTACCCATGCGTTGGGGGAGGTGGGGAGGTGGCTTAATGGCTATCCTCAGTGGTGAACAATGGAAGGGCTTTAACAAACCACAGTGAAACATTAGGTGAATGTGCCTGAGTGTTTTTGGTAATTTCCATTCCACAGTCACCGATTTGCAATTTGAATGATGGGGAAAAAACTTATGTACTTAGGTCCCAACTTCTTGCAGAGCTGCTCCAACTCCAGGAATTTCATGGAGAGATACACCTCATCCCCTATTCTAAACTCCTTCTGAGGTGCTTCTTCTTGTCAGATTGCCTTTTCTGTGCCTCCCTTGTTGCTTCTAACACTTTGCACACTACAGGCCAGATGGCTTTCCAAGTCAACAAAATTGAAGAAAGTTGAAGAAGGTGCCTCTTCAGGGAGCTCTGGCATTGGCACAAATTCTGCACTGGTGGCTACTCAGGGTAAACCCCATGCTGCTTGTACAGAATTATTGTATGCCACCTCAGCAAAGGATAGAAGTTCAGTCCAATTGTCTCATTGATTGTTCACATAGCATCAAAGGTATTGCTTCAGGACTGCATTTGAACGTTCTAAGCCCTATTCATTTGAGGATGGTGGGTGGAGCTAAGACCCTGGGAGGTGCCTAACAAGCTCAGGAATTCATGCCAAAACTTTGATGTGAATTACACTCCCTGATCTGAAATGATACCTTTTGGAACGCCATGTAGCCAATACGTGTGTACGAAGATACATGTGTACGAAGAGTTTAGCCAGGGACTGAGCAGAATGGATCCTAGAGTATGCAACAAAGTGGGCTTGCTTAGAGAATAAGTCCTTTACTTTTTTAACCATAGGTGCATACAGTCTTCTTAGCACTTTCACTAACTCTTATGGTTGGTTACTTTCCTTCTCATCCACCACTTGTCTCTATCCCAATCAACTGATCAGCTCCATTTTTTCCACCATGCCAGACATAAGACCATGGCCGCTGTCATCCCAGGGACACAATAAATTGAATAATCTCCATGTGGGTCCAGGCTTTCAGTTTCACAGGGTCAATTTGGCAGGTCACCAGCATCCTGCCCCATTACTGAGTTATCTAGCTGGGAAAATGCCATAGGCTGCTTTATCTTCCTTAGCCTCAACCTTAGCTTCTCTACCAATTGGGGGCTGACTAGGCATCTGGTGCATCCTGAGTCCAACAGACACATACGGACCTCCTTTGCACCCAAGGAGGATTCCAAGATCTCCACCCTAACAATCATAGGGGTGATGGGGCCACTTGCCATCAGGTCATCTTTTCCTTTGTAGTTGCTCTCATAGAATCTGGTCCCATCTCAGCAGGGTCAGGGTTCCCTCTCCCTTGCTGGATAGACAGGAGACCTCTATGACTTTTTGTCCTGCACAAGTTTTCTCCCTTAACTTCAGTGGAGTCTTTTTCTTCTTCAGTTGGTTCAGAGGCAGGGGAGCAGTCATCAGTTGCAGCGCAAGACACTCAACAACTCAGTGCCCCTCCTTCCCGCAACGAAAGCAGACACCAAGGATTTGGTGGGCTCTCCCTCCTCTGGCTGGAGGCACACATTCTCTTCCCCTTCTAGGGGTTGCTCATTTTTCTATGAGGTGACAGGACTCCTAATGTGCTCATGGAACTCCATCAGGTTGATCTCTACCTTGGTGGCCACATGGTACTGCGTGTTGTGCAGCACTCCCTGGAGTAGGCAATTGTGGTACAGTTCCTTATTCAGTCCCTCTTGGAAATGATAGACCAGCAAGTATTTAGGCCAGTCTCCCAAGTGGCTGGCCAGGTGGTGGAAATCTTGAATGTACTCTGTTACCAGCCTTCCTCTGCTTCAGGGCACAGATGTGGGCTTCTGCATGTGGGGCTTGTATGAAGGTGTCAAGGTCGTCCATCTCTGGAGCAGTCTCATCCTGCAGTGACATCAATCACTGCAAAGTGCTCTCTTCCAGGCTAACCGTGATAACATAGACACAGGCCACACCATCAGGGTATATCACTCCATAATGTGGTATCAGGCTTGAGCCAGGAAATGGGCTAGGCAGTTTGGGTGCCCATTGAAACAGACCATCGTGTGGGTGGCTGAAGCTTCTCCTGCACCAGGATGAACCCCAAGAGCTGAATAAGGACTGCCGCCACTGTTAGGCATATAAGTAGCCTAACAGGTATGGTGCCAGTGCTGGAATTCCAGTTGCAGCTGTTTGTGTTGGGGTTCTTACTGTGGCCGGGGCCTCTGAAACTTCTGGCTACAATGGAAGAGGGAGATTGGTGAAGCCTGCTGCTGCCATTGCCTATGCTGGGGCCCTGAGTGCAGTTGTGGCTGCCGGACTCTGGCTGAAGAATAGGAGGAGAAGGAGCAGGCAGGACGGCTGGGGTTCTCACAACTCCTGGCTGGCTGGTGGCAGTTACAGCTCCAAGCACTATTGCAACATACATCTCCATCCCTCTGAACTTCTCCCTTAACTGCTCCATGGATGGAGCTTCTGATCAGGAGCTTCCACTCACGGCGGTGTCCCATTAGGCTAGTCATTTCACTTTCCACTTGCTGCCTCAGACCACATTGACCCCAGAAAGGAGAAGAGGGTCTTCAGCCTCTTCTGCCTTCCTCACAATTGTTGCCCAATGGGTCTTTGGACCCTGATATGGGGTGTCCCTTGCTCTCTCCTTTGTGGCTGTGGCTAGTTGCTTAGATTTCTCAGTCTTTGGTATTGGACACATGCCAGCTGGCTGTGCTCCTTCTCTGGCCTTGGGTGGGGCTGGCTCTTCCCAAGCCAAGCCTCTCCTGGTTTCTTCTTCTCTTCTGACTCTTTGCTCATAGCCAACATCTCAGGGTTGACCTCCTGGTGGGATCCAGGTAGGCTATTTCTATGAGAACCACCTTAATGTCAACTGTGGTTAGACAGGGAAAAGAACTCCTGGGACATTTTTTTTATCAGGAGTATACTAAAGATTCCATGTGGTTACAGAAGTAGAAAAGCTAGTTCTAATGATTTTGCAGGAAAACAGCATAGGAAAACTTTCCTTTCCCCCCATGAACCTCCCACTGTCCATTGTCCATCAATCATTTGTACTATCTTTGTTTTGGGAACAATTTGTCTGACTCGAATTTCCCCACCTGGCAGACATGAGGTGTTGGGTCTGTCTCAGCCTTCCAGTCAGCACACTTGCATTTCAAATTTCTCTCTCAAACCTCCCTTACATTCCAATGCTTTCCCTCTCCCCTCCTGTTACAGTTGTCTGATTGCAAGCAGAGCTGTGTTACGAGTCAACCATGACATGCTGTCTGCTTAACATCTAACTTTGTGCTGCTTTCATTTTGTTCAAAAATGGTTAATGACAAAAAAAACTTGAGGTAGTAAAATTCACAGTAGTGCAAAAACCATAGACGTGCTTAATTTTTTTCATTTATTTGTTATCTAACTTACTACAGTATTAATCTAATGTGGCCAGTCAGAGTACTGAGAAGCTTATACAGTTAGTCCCTGTTTAGCAACAGTTTAGTGACTGTTCATAGGTATGATGGCAATAAAGAACTTTATTGTTAATTTACTTTACTAACTTTACCACCAATTCTTGCATTTGCAACCTTCACAGGTCTGTAAAACAAAGGATAAACATGCAGGGTCACTTAGCAACTGTTATTCTTAAAGATGGAATTGCCAGACCCAGCTGTGGTTGCTAAATGAGAAATACCCAAATTTGAAACAAAAAGTTTATCTGAATTAGTAAAGCAGTCAGAGGTTGCTAAAATTAGAGATCTCCAAACATTTTCCCCTTATTCTTGATGTACCTAGAGCAGTCATCTTGCCTATTTAATTTTGGACACTAAACTAAGTTGCCTTTCCTACAAAATCCAAAGTAAAAAGGAATCAAAATGAATTGAATGTTGTCCTTTTTCAATTCAGCTTCATATTGCCAACAACTCAGTTAAGGTAGAAAAAATGCAGACTGTCAGGCAAAAGAAATGAAAACCTGAGAAAGGACCCCAGAATGACACAGCCAGATAAAACTAATCTGGAACCTGAAGTTTACCATTTTGTTCAGAATGTTTAGATCAGTATTTTTCAAACTTGGCAACTTTAAGATGGGCAGACTTCAGCTCCCAGCATGTTTGCTGGAGAATTCTGGGAGATCAAGTTCACGCATCTTAAAGTTGCCAGGTTTAAAAAGCACTGATTTAGACATAAAGATTTCCTATAGAGAAAGGCCAACCAAATCACTGCTTCCTGGAAAAATATACATTAGAAAATTAAGATTATGTTATTACTGACAAAAAGATACTGACAAAAGATTGTGGAGCTAATTTCATCACTCGGGGTAATTCCTTATATTAATTTCTTAACCTGGGTTGACCTGTGCATCTGTTTGTAATTATCTTTCTGAAACATTCTTGGATGTGCTATTCAAATGGATTTATGACTGTTGTTTAACATTTTTTATTAGCTGTGCTAGATAAGAAGTGAAGTTCCTCAAAGCCTCCCCTTTCTGCTTGTTAAGTAGAAAACCACTGGAAAGCAGCAGAATTCATAGCAGTTCGTGTGAGTAGGCAGATTCTAAACACAAGGAACAGCATAAAACATGAAAGCCAAGCATGTCATTTTATAAAAATTAGCCTCGTGGAGTTATCGCCTGCACTGTGATGGCATCGCAACAAAGAAAAGGGAAAGGCAGAAAGTCACATGACTCACCTCTGGCAGAGAACCAGCCCCTAAATTGTTCCAAGAATGGAAGGGAATGTGAACTAGTGGCAGCTTGCTATGCTTTATTTTTGGGGTGGGGGTAGAGGGAGAAGCCTCCTGTAAATCACTTTTGTAAATACAGCCTTTTCAAAAAAATAAACTATTTTTTAAGATATGCTGCTGTAAGTCTGAATTAAACTGAATCAAAATTATAAACCAGAATACTGGGGAAGTTTGGTTTAAAACTGATTGGATGAAGGATGTGTTGTTCACTGGAGTCCAGTAATTATGTTGATCCAAATGATCCAAATGATATCATGTTTGCAATTTGCATGATGACATCATTAGACAGATGATGCAAATTGATCACTTGGACTATGATGTCAATGCATAAATCATATCATCACCCAAAGGATATTGATTGTTTCATCTCCATCATTCATACTCGATCACATTGCAATTTGATCCATCCGGTATGAAATCCTTTGCATTAAAATCCAGAATACCACATGTTTTTCAGTGGGGTGGGAAAATCCACACAGAATAAAATTCCAAAGGTGCTTATATAGCAGGCAAAAAATACAAAACACTTACCTCTGCAAGTGACAATCGCAGCATGACTAATAGGTGTGATTTTGCCGCAGAAGTGAAAAAAACAGCAAAAAAAAAAAGTCAAAGCACTGGATAGCAAGGGATGGAAATTGGGAACAAATACAAAGATAAATTATATGGTCACTCATTTGGCACTAGGTACTGTGCCAAATACTTTCTCAAAAGGCTGTTTCCAAAGGGGAACATGAAGCAGGCAGGCATTGTTTGTAGACAATGCTGTCCACAAGGCACTTATAAGATACTCACCAGAACAATAAAATACAATTAACCCAAGCAGCAGCATAAGCCATTTAAAATAATGGCTAGAGCAGGGTCTCTGTTATATAACATTAAAAGGCTGAGGTGTAATCTAAACTTTGAAATGTTCTATATAAAGAGTACGCCCTGGCTTGAGTTCTGGCTTCCTCCCCTCCCCTTTCTTCAAACACTAAGGACAACAATTCTTAAGAACAATTACAGTTCTAATAAAACACATAACTTTCCTGGTAGTAAAGAAAGGCCTCTGCCTTTAAGTCAACACCTACAAACAAGGCATCCACAAGAAGGGAAGATGTCAAAAAGTCAAGATGACGATTACCACTGCTCTATTGAAAGCCCACCATTTTATTGAAAGTCCCACCTTTTTACAATAAGTATTACTAGTAATATCACTTTATAAAGCCTTAGTAAGACCATAGCTGAAATGTGGCATCCAGTTTTGGTCACCACACTACAAAAAAGATTTTGAGACTCTGGAAAAATTGCAGAGAAGAACAGCTAAGACAATTAAAGTCCTAGAGACTAAAACATGAAGAATGGTTGCAAGAATTGGATATGGCCAATCTAGAAAAAAGAAGGATTAGAGGGGACATGATAACAGTATTTAAGTAAGGAAGGAGCAATCTGGAATTAAGGAGAAACTTCCTAACAGTGAGGACTTTTAACCAGTGGAACAGCTTGTATTCAGTCATTAAGAGACTGGACAGCCACTTGTCTGAAACAGTATAGGATATCCTGCTTGAGCAAGGGGCTGGACTAGAAGACCTCCAAGATCCCTTCCAGCTCTATTCTATTTTATGTGCATTGTAGGTGCAACACATATAAAACTGGACCATTGATTGTGTAATCACAGTCACCGTCATAAAGTTTTGACACTGCCCTCCTGCAAATGCCCTTACTTGTTGAAGTTCCATCTCCTCCAGACAAAGAACATGTGCTTTTTGTGCTGCCAAGTGAGCAGAAAATGCTGCTACACAAGAACAAGCATGGCAAATATGCAGAATTTTAGATCATACATCCTTAGATGGTGTAAGATCAAGAAATACATTTTTGATAGCATTTTATATGTATATTTCAGCCAGATGTATTAATGCTGCTGGAATGCACATAAACAAACACACCACATTAAATAAAGCAAGATGGAGATTTAACTCATAGGCCCAGCTTTGTATCTGAAATTAGACCATGGGTTAAACTGTGTTTAAAGTGGATAACCACAACCTTTTAAAAGCATGCATGGGAATTTATCTTTTCCTAACAATTTTCTCTTCCAACCTGGCATTTTCCATATATTTTCTTTCTATTTCCATGATCCTGTCCAGATACATTATTGTTTTCTGATTTATGAAGATGCTTTATAATTGGTTGTCCAAGTAATATTGGTTAATAAATTAACATTATATATTTTCTATTCAGATACTATCATTTTTTAATTTTAACAGCCCAGAACTGGTATCCCTAGTTAAGCAGCCAAAGAAAACATTTGTCTTTCGGCTAAACAGTGGTGCCAAATAACAGATGGAAAAGGAAAACCCAATAGGAAAAATAGTCTTGAAATAAATCATATTGTATTGATGATGTGGTCTCCAACAAGCAGATGTGGCAGTTGCAGAGAAAATAAAAAGTTATGTGACCCTCAGTTCGAGTGTGAAAATTAATTGAAAGGGCAGAGCTTCTGCTCCAAATTTAACCTCTGTAAACTATGAGACCTGGATACATAGGAGCAAGAATCATGCTATGTACTATATTAGAAATTACTGATCTATTTGTAAACCATGGGTAAACCACACTAATTAGAGAATCTGCAATCAGAATATTAATACCAATATATTGTAGTTATTATACAGTATGTTGGCTTTTGGGCCTTTATCCTGGTCTTTCTTTTATGACAAA